GTTTGCACCTCAGTATCTTTTTCTCTGTTGGGACGATCACGTCCATACAGATTGGACAGGATTCTTTTTCTAAAGCTTTGCTAGTTGGAAGTGTTCGAACCGATGTTCTGCTGCTTCTATCTTCACCCATTGGGCTGTCAGTTGGAGGTGATCCATTTTGCAAGAGAAATTTCTCTAATTCAGCCACATGCACAAATGGCCCAGTCACTGAAACTTTATTTTTGTCAGTGGTTTGAAAGAGAAGCTCAGGAAACCTCCTTTCCACCTTTTGCTTCACACACGGACTCAAAGTGACCGTTGTGACCTGTAGGTCAGCAGCAGTTCTTTGGTAGAATGTAAAAAGCCGCTGTCGGACTAAGTCAGCACCGACAGTGTCTGTGGAGGGAAGGGCTGGTCTTACAGTCACCTGCACTCTGTGGTTCTCCTCTGCATGTGTTTCAATAACAAAGCTGTTTCCTTGGATCATTTGAAGTTCTTTCGCACATCTTTGCTGAATGTATAACATAAAAAATTCAGACAAGTTCAAAGACCTGGCAGTTGGTAAACTGTGTGAAGCTTGTTGACCAGTACGCTGATTGGAGCTGGGACCAAAGTGAATGGACAGTTTAACTGAAAGCTTCTCTAGCTGCTGGTAGGAGCATTTCACAATGTAGTGGGAACCTTGTTTCTCTGAATTGTAATACTGAAGAATTCTCCTTAATTTGACAGGGTCGTCATAGTCCGCTTCATTTATGGTGGCTGTGATGTCTGTTAAGACCTAAAAAAAAAGACAACAAAGCAGTTAGCTATAATGCTAGGTCGTAAAGTAAAAGGTACTTGGTCTTTGGCTGTAGGCCAGGAAGCTGCGCCAATAACATTAGACTTAAGTTAATTTGTCAAAAGAGATATGGATTCTACATGTGGTTGTAAATGGTTAATGGTGTTGACAATAAACTTGTGTCGTTAATTAGCTACAGGATCAAATAACTAGGATTTGTTTTCAACCCAAGAACTTTCTTTTCCTTCCAGGGATACCTCTAAGTTCTCTAGGACATTAATTTTATTCCGAATTCACCTGTTAAATAATACATCGTGTATCTTACCTCCATGCTGCAGACGTACCTCGACTTATTCCTTCCTTTCACTTTCTGCTCAATAGGGATGTGTCGTTCGCGAGTTATTCGTATAAAATGAACGAATCTTTCATATGACTCGTGACTCCCGAGTCATATGAAAGATTCGTGAGTCGTGACTCCCGAGTCATATGAAACATTTGTTCATATTGAACTCACGAATCACTCACTGGGAACTAATCACTCTCTGCGAACTAATCTTTCACTGTAAACTAATCTTTCACTATGAACGAATTGCTCTTTGCAAACTAATCTATGGCTGTGAACTAATCTTTTGCTGTAAACTACTTACAACTTACAAAACTGTCCTCCATCACGAACAATCCCACCCACCCGCTGCACCAGACTGTGGAGGACCTGCGTAGCT